CATCTAAGAAGAATGAAATTTTCCATCAAGGTGCTAGGTACAATTTTGAGGAGGGAAATGTCATTTTATAAAATTACAATGGAGTGGAAGTGTTATTTGGCATGTTTGGTTAGTACACTGTACTTATTAGCAACTGAACAAAAAACAAACATCAGTAACAAAAGACTTCAAACCAAAAAGCAGAGAATTCACATTGCCCCAGATCTGTCTACCACTCTATTTTTTTTCTTGCTTGTTTAGGTAAAACTAGTTATGGATAATAATTTTACAGGAATATCTTATAAAATCCTTACGAAGCCACTTGATTTCTATCTCCCTCTCTCATCCTCTCTCTCTTTTTCCATAGTTTGCAACCTCATTCATTTTCACTCTCTCTGCCTTTTATCCTCCCTCTATTCCCTCCCATCCCATACTCTCTCCACCTTCCCTTTCTCTTTCCCTATCTCCCTTCTCACATGCAAAGCAAAACAATAAAAAAGTTAAAATAATATCAGTGCTTTAGTACAAACAATCATAGCAGCTAATATTCATTAAAGTCCCACAAGAGGTAACACATTTAAATATCACAACAATGTTATGGGATAAGAATTGTTATCTCAATTTTGTCTCAACTATTCTCTGCCACCATATTTCAAAAATTGTTTGTTGTATAAATGAATTGAATATACTTCACATTGTTAGATGCATATTTATCTTGGAGATATTGGACAAATATATTTCTGGATTTATTTTTCAGGATGTATCTTTGGAACAGATCTTACTGATGATTTTCTATTTCTATTGTTTGTGAGGAAAATCAGCAGCAGTCACAAAGAACTACACAAGAAGTTATGATCAGCCATTTGAAACCTAAATTATTAATTTGGGAAACTAGTTGATCTATACCAAAATTCTTAGCTGCTCTCTCCCTTCTTGGTCTTTCCCTAAATTTCAGTCAATGAACTAATTTTAAAAATGTATCTACCTATCTAAATATTTTTAGTGTGTCTTTTTTGGACCAAGTGTTCAAATGTTGCATTTTAATATTTCCACTTGTGATCAAGTCAGATATCTTCTTGAAAGGATGAAGTTATAAGAAAGAAGTTTAATTGGATCACAAGACTGCAAGTTTTCTGGGTAAAAGATAAACACTAAGAAAAGAGTTCATTATGCTACAAGAAAGAAAGTAACCTTTGTGTACAAAACTACCAGTTTTAATGATTAAGGAGACAATTTAATATTAGAAATATGTTCATAATAGTGACTTCATTTTAATTAAACTTCATCCGTACCCCAGTGAGCACTATGAACTCATTAGGATATGTTAAGTTACAGTATGGCATGGAAGGTGATGAAAAATGTAAGGATAAATTTAAAAAATAAATTGAGCTTAGGGAATTAGAATACATAAGTGATGCTCAACTGGCAAGGGATTTGACATTCACAGTTCCTTTAGAAGAGGCCAAAGAAGAGAAAATGAAATCTCTCTCTCAGGATTGATTTCTTTAAAATCTTGAGTATTTTAATTGCATGTATCAAAACAGAAACATTTGACTAGAAGTTAATGTGAAGTGAGAATTAGGATCCAAATATAGCCCTAAAGCAACTTTCATTAAAAAATTACATTCTAGTTACTAAAATAAAAATATAAATTGTACTATTGAAGTTGCACTTCACTGCCAAATATTATGGGTCTATTCTCAGTTGTTTCATTTTGTTGGCATTAATAAAAGTTTCCTGGGTTCAAGGAGGATAGAATTCAAGAAGAGAACAAAAAGAGGCAACAGCTTAGTTTTGAGCAAGGAGCTCCTTAGGACTGTATACTGAGTCACTTACGAATGGTCAAGTCTAGCTTAAGATTCAGTGAGCTAAGGAGTGATTGTTGAAGAAAAAGTTACTAATATAATACCTGCTTTCAATTTTTTTATGTAAACAAGAGACATGTGTTTAATGTTATTCTTTTTTTAAATAAAGCAGTGCACATCTTTACTTTCTGTTTATTCAGTTTCACTTTCTTTGCAAAGCTGATCAGGCATTAGAGATAAGGAACAACACTAAGGTCATTCTAGAATTCTATCCAGCGTACATATTCCCAGGACTGATGCATTTAGGGATCCTGGAATAAGTGAGTAGTTTATATCAAGCAGACTGTTGAGAAGGACCTGAACAGTAAGAACAGAGGTAGAGCACAAAGCTGTTAAGTAAATTTTGTGTGAGGCTGAATGCATCATCAGAATTAGATCATGGAATAAGAAAACAACTGAGTCTACTTTCTCAATAAAGTGATTTTTAGCATAACCTTTATTTTTTCCTTTGTCATTCTTTGATATCTGCAGTGTTGCAAATAACTTCTCCATTTTAATGATGCCACTGGACTTATATTTCAAAACTGTGATTCTAATAGTTGTTCTTAGTAACTCCGAGGAGTTATTACAGAGTCACTGTAAGCATAAAATACTTAGAGCTGTAGAATCGACTGTCAAAATAAGGAAGTTTTACAGGTTGTCAATGTAAGAGGTCAAGGAAGGTCAAACTTAGATTGAAAATTGTGCTAAAATTTTCTCAAGACTTAGATTACAAAAGGAAAGTTGTGCATTCACAATAAACTTGATATAATAGTATGATAACAAGAAAACACCATTTATTAATAACATATCATGTGCCAGGTACTGTAATAAGCACCTAAACTCATTTATTCTTCACAACAATACAATATCATATATAATATTGAACGATTTTATAGCTGAAGAGATTGAGGCTTGAAGAGGTTAAGTAACTCGACCAAATTGGCGGGGAAAAAGATGGAAATAAGGCATAAAAGACAGAACCAAGGTAGGATTTCAATCTTGGCGTAAATACAAAGGATTACCTATGCCACTGAAATGATTTTTCTAGTTTCAAAACATCAAATTATAGCAGGTATTACTATGTAATATTAGAGATACCCACAGAAAAACTAATTTTCTCAAGAGCTTTTTGCTACAGAGGAGGAATCCAAGCTTTTTCTTCTTTCAGTGTTTGCCATTAAGTTCGTTACAGTTAGCTGAAAAGAAAGTACTTGCTTCCCAGTTTCTCTCTTAGGCTGAAGGTTACATAGTTCTTTACAATTAATAGAAGGCTTCCCTCTCCTCCCCAGCCCCAATACTTTTTTTTCTGTCTTTTGGTCTTATTGTGTGTTTTGTTTGCTGGATAATGGAAGGACCAAGGAAGAAAGGCCAAAGCAGCTCAGAGCTTCTGAATCGTTGTCAATCATCATTCTCAATTGTGAGTCAGGATTCTCTTTCCCTTTTTATTTATGGACACTGATTTCCCACAAACTTCAAGAGAAAAAAACCTTAACTACCTAGCTTTAACAAAGCAAAGTTAGCTCTCCAGAACACCTATACTATTTGAAGTCATAACCAGAGAAAAAAACCTATGTGAGTGTATCTCCAAGTTTGGGCCAATGGATGTACTTTATTTACTACTACCAATTTAATTTCTTCAAGACGTCTGTCATACAACAGCTTTGGGAGATTAGGTGCCTGACTCAGGCAAAGACAATGCATTTTCAAGAGCCATATTTTGTGAAATTCTGCATATGCCATAAATTAGGTACACCGTTTACAGTTATGCTTATTTTTTTATAATTAAGTGTTTTTTTAGGTAAATGTTTAAACTGTGGTATTTTCATCAGATTTTTTTTTTTTTGCTTTGTTTATTCAACTGGGGTAAAGTACAGATGGAAGTGAACTAAATTCCTATTTTCCAAGAAATTCTGGGCTCTTTGCTATATTATGTTATCAACACTGGTAAAGATGACTTATTGTAGTATTGTACTTCTACATTTGGCATTCCAGAGCAAGTTAAGTTATTTTCCTCAATATGAGTAAGCATGTCTGTGGACTTCACTGCTGGGAAGTTGAACATGGAAAGCAAGAAGTTTAGGAGTGTGAGAAAGTTCTGGAATATTCCCCTGTCTACAAAAACAAACCACTGGACTTTCTGTTGCTAATAAAAGCATTTTAATGAGATCCTTCAATGCCCCTAGATTGAGAGACTTTCTCTTTTTAGCAGCACCCTGGAGAATAGCACCTTTTCATTTTCTATTTTAAAATTCCAGTAGCTTTTGATGTTCGTAACTGGGTGCCTTGATGATAATGTTCTGAATTTATAGTACCTTTCAAGTGTGAGTACTTTACAAATGATATGGAAGGCTCATTCACCAAAGACTATTCTATCACACTAAAGCTGCTGGAGATTTAAATAGGCAAGAGGCAGTTTGAAATTGACCTGCGAGGCTACAGGTATGATCTCATTTCTACTGAAAACTGTCCTGGGAATACCAAGGACTTCAAGAGGTCAAGAATTTTAGCTTTACATTCCTTTTCAAAGGCTGCCTATGGCTCCCCAGGGCCTTTCTGTGGCAATGGTCTTTCTTCAGACCAAGGCTGGATTTCATTAATTGAACTATTAACACTACTCCTCTTCTCACTGGGGATTGTATCATAGTACACTATCCGAGTTTAGACACTTTATTTGTAAAATCTGACCCAGTCAGAGCACAAGGAAATTTTGCTTCAGGCAGAATTTGTAATATATTAGGGCTGTGTTCCTTTCTCCAATCTCTTTTCAAATGCTACCATTTTTTTTCTTTTTTAGAGAGAATTTCTTGAATTTCTCCATTAATATGATGTGAAATTTTGAGCGTAAAAGAAATCAATTTACTATCAAATGTTTATGTTTTCATTTATACATAAATTTTAATTCATCAAGGTGCCCTGCAAAGTTCAAATTATACATTGAACACAGACTGGTACATGAGTCTTTAAGCTTGGCCTCTCAAACTTTCAATATTTTCTTTTTATTTTAATTATTCTTCATATAAGGATATATTCAAAATTATTTTTCTAGGTATGAAAGAATCCTATAAAAGGTATATATGTGAATTTATAGTAACAAGATTCCCTTTTATAATTTTTCTAATGAAAAATAATAAATTCTAAGATGAAATTGTAATCACCTGTAAAACATTTTTTCAGGTCTGATGATGCATTCAGTAAAGTCAATTTAAATTATCGCACAGAGAATGGGCTGTCTCTACTTCATTTATGTTGCATTTGTGGAGGTAAGTGCTTGAAACTCAACACTTTATAAACTAGTGTTTATATAGTCAGTGATTTGAGCTGCTTAATAGTCAACAAGAGAATTCTATTCATACTCAATTTTCTTTTTTGCTTTGCCCCTACAATCCTGATAACCTTCAGTTGCAGCGATAACTACCAAGCAGGGGCTCCATTTGATTTAGCTCTGAATTTAACTTTCATTGTGCTCCCACCCCGAACCAAGTCACTTATTTTGCTTGAAAACCAAAAATACATTTTTCAATATTGGCCATGCCAGTCAGGGATTAGGTTAAATTCAGAATCACTTAAAGCATTCCCCAAAACATCGTCAAGCAATTGCCTCACAATCTTCAGTAAAATATGTGGAAGGTAATAAATGCCAAAGATAAAATCTTAGTGAAAACTGATCAAAGTGAAGATTAAGAGTTTAATTTGGCTCATATTTTGTTGTTTTATTCATAAATGTATCCCAAATACCTAGAATGATGCCTGGCATATAGCAGGTACTAAGTAAATGTTGAGTTAATAAATTGTTAATATTTGTTTTGTCAACCCAGACTCATATTCACTGAATTCAACTTTTTAAATAGAATGTTAATGTATAAATATCAGCTCTAACCATAGCCTTTGACCACTCCTCCCAAACGAACTAAACAGACTCTACTTAACAGATCTTCCTAACAAATTTAAACATGCTTGCCTCCATGATTCCAGATTTCTCTGATCTATGTAAACTCTACTGCTAATGATCTAAGGAATTCTGTATAACTAGATTTTCATCTATTCTTTTTCACTAATAGTTTATTAAGATGAATTTTTTCATGTTTTATGTTTTAAAATATAACACATATAGTAAAATACACAGCATTGAGACATTTTAAAAGTGTAATATAAATATTCACTACTAAGTAAGGCTGCCAATTAATAGAAAACTACAAATGGTATGCAGAAGAGCAGTCTGACATTTTCATAATTCACTGTGACACTGATCAGTAAGTCAAAGCACGATTTTAAACTCACTTAGTCCACCCCTATAACAATTTAACCTTTTTTCACTTTCTCATTAAGGCAACAAGTCACATATTAGAACCCTAATGTTAAAAGGACTCCGTCCATCTCGACTGACAAGAAATGGATTTACAGCCCTGCACTTGGCAGTTTACAAGGTACATTTTTGTTCCACTAAATACTGTATTGGATGATGTATATTTTTAGGTTCCTTCTTCATATTTAGCTTTTGGCAAATGTTAATCATAGAAAGTAGACAGAGTGACCACAGAGCATTATATTGCTAGGTGACCTTCCTTCTCTTTTGAGCAGGTATCATCTCTATACTCTTTTTAATGCTTTACATCTTCAACTCATTTAATTCTCACAAGGACTCAGTAGTAAATACTCCAAAGTTACATGGTGAGCCAGTGGTTCGCTGGGGTTTACGAACTGGCAGTTTTGGTTTCTTCGTCTGAATGCCAAGCTACCTCTGTGCAGAAGAGGATTAGGTTTCATCTAGGGTTACAAGAAGCACATTGAAGCTGCCTCCTTTTTCTGCATATATTCCTTAGTAAATATTTCCAGAGTTCCTTTTAGCTTCCTTCTTTTATTTTCTCTACTTCTGCTTCAGTAGTTTCCTCACATTGGTCCCTGGTTTCAACCTAACTCAGTACCTGATCAGAAAGTAAAAATATAAAAGAGGATTGAAAAAACTGGGATTCTCAGTGTTGAAATAGATCCTTGACATCGTCATAATTTATTAATAATCTATTTATAATTTATATAATATGTAAATAAGTTTATGTATTATATATGTAATATAATATGTAAATAAGTTCATGTTACTTATAAATCATATTAATAAATTATGTTATTTATATGATATGTAAGTAATAAATTGTTCATCCTCTAATCATAACAAGTTTCTACTTATTATAAGACAAACATCAAACTAGATTTTATATGCATTATTTATTTAACCATTAAAATAACTTAGTGTGATACATGTTACAGTTTATTTTAGAGAAAAGGTAACTTGAAGATTAAAGTTAGATATTTAATAAATGTTAGAAAAATGATTAGAATCAAGTTGGCTCATATTTCCAGATTCACATTGCTTTACTGCCTATTTCATTCTTTCTCAATTCCATGTGCATCTATAACAGGATTTTATTTCAGTTTTGTATATGTAAATGTGGAGACGAGAGGAGACAGCTATTTGCTCATACCAGGATCTCTAACCTTTAAAGAGTCTATCACAGTGGGGGAAGAGAGCCATTTTTCCCACAATTCAGTTCACATATTCCTGCGATTCATAGTGCAGATGCTCTGATGATTATCCTTTTTCTGCCCAGTCACTGCCTAGTCAATTTCTCTGATTCCTTCTGGGAGAAAGTGTCAGTTAAGCGCTAAATTATATTTAATACCTGCTGGTCATCTTGTGAAACTTGAATGGAGATGAGTTCAGGTGTAAGAAACAATGTCTGGTGCTGGTTTTTCTGCTGGATGGTAGGAGGTGAAGTAGAAGAGCTCAAAGGGGTAAGAATCCGGTGATGTGAAGTGAGGGCAGTATGTGAGACCATGAACTCTGAATCTGTCTGGGAGATTCTTTCTATATTCATTTTCTCACACTTTG